TTCAAAAAGAAATTTGTGTTGCCATAGTTCTTGTAAATCTAGGAGGGTTTAGGGAATTGAGGATAAGAGTAGCTTAACACCTGACGCTAGTGCTGAGCACTTCACATGTGTTACTTCCATTTAATCCTGACCACAACCACATCCTTCTGATTGGACAAAATTAGTCATATTTCTAATTTTCAATACAGATATGACTCATGTAATTTTTTTTTATTTTGTAAATTCTATATGGAGAGAAAAGAGGAACTCTAAAGAAATTAAAGCCAATAGAAATTACTCACTAGAAAAAAAATGATCATCAAAAATAATAGCAACAGCCATTTATTAGCAAGGCAGTGGGGTAACTGCATATTCTAGGAGGGTTTAGGGAATTGAGAATAAGAGTAGCTAACACCAGAAGCTAGTGCTAAGCCCTTCACATATGTTATTTCCATTTAATCCTGAACTTACTTTCATTTGGACAAAATAAGTCATATTTCTGATTTTCAATATAGATATGATTCACATAATCTTTTCTTTTTGTTCTGAAGCTAATAGAAATTGCTCACTAGAAAAAAAACTTATCATTAAAAACAGTAGCAAAGGCCATTAGCAAGGCACTTGGCTAACTGCTCTATAAATACAGTCTCACAGCACAGACTATTATCTCCCACAATATGTATGAAGCTGATATCCTCACCCATACTTTACAGAGGAGGAAGCCGATGCACTGAGGAATTATGAAGATGATGGGATGTCTTTAATGCGAGTGGCACAACCAAGCTTCTACCTCAGCTTTGCTTAACTCCAAAATCTGCTTTTAATCCCTCTCTATGGGTTCAATTGTATCTTCCCAAAATGTAAGTCCTATTCCTAACCCCCAGTTCCCATAAATGTGACCTTTTGGAAATAGGGTGTTTGCACATGTAATAAAGTTAAAAGTCTCACAACAAAACCATTCTGGATTTAGGATGAAGTGCAATTCTAATAACTGGTGTCTTTATTAGAGAAAGGAGATTGCAGACCCACAGACACAATGAGGAGAAACCATGCAAAGATGGAGGTGAGACTGGAGTGATGTCACCACACGCCAAGGGATACCCAGCTCCACCGGAACCTGGAAGAGGCAGAAAGGATTCTCCCCAAGAGCCTTCAAAGGAAGCTTGGCCCTTCCAGCACCTTAGTTTCACACTTTCGGCCTCTAGAATTGTGAGGGAATAAATTCCTTTTGTTTTAAGCCACCAACTTGACGGTAATTTGTTGTCGCAGCCCAAGGAAATTAACGTGGTCCTGTAGAAGGAATAACTTCTGTAGGTCAAAGATCTAAGATAAAGAGCTGAGAGGAAAGTAGAAAAAAACAGCTGATCACTCATATTTTTAATAAGACACACTAACCCCAGGAAAAGTCTTCAGAGAACAAATTGGATATTTAAGGACTTTTCAACCATCAGCTAGAAAATCTCAATATTAAACAGGAAGAATCTAACCTTACTTTTGCTGTGTGTTCAGTTGTGTTCGACTCTGCAACCCCATGGACTGTAGCCCGCCAGGCTCCTCTGTCCACGGGATTCTCCAGGCAAGAATACTGGAGTGGGCTGCCATGCCCTCCTCCGGGGGATCTTCCTGAACCTGCGTCTCTTGCATCTCCTGCATTTGTAGGCGTTCTTTGCCACTTCGCTACCTGGGAAGCCCTCTAAACTTCTTTACATGGGAAGAAATAAAAGTGCCAACCTTTATTTTATATTGTGATGTGGAATATGAATTATATGTGCAAGATCCAACTAACCATGTAAATTTCTTTGGATCTTATCATGATGAAGATAATTACCTGAACTCCATCACATTTAAACAACCACGTACGATATATTTTCTTGGCGATTCCCCTTGCCTAGTAAGTCAAAACTCAGCAAGGCCCATTGAAATACTACTTATATAAATACCTCTTTATAAATAATAGTGTATTGTTATGCTGCTCATTTTTTAAACAACAGAATGAGAGCTTTCTTTACAAGGAAAAACTCTATTACCATGTCTTTTCATTGCCTGCAGCTTTAAACATTTTCAGAGGCAGAAAGTATTGTAATAGCACTTTACAAATGAAGTGGTTTGTAAATCTTAAGCTGCAATTTTCTCCCAAACAAAGCAACAACAACTAAAAAAAGAAAAAAAAACTTATCATCAAAAACAGTAGCAAAGGCCATTAGCAAGGCACTTGGCTAACTGCTCTATAAATACAGTCTCACAGCACAGACTATTATCTCCCACAATATGTATGAAGCTGATATCCTCACCCACATTTTACAGAGGAGGAAGCCGATGCACTGAGAAATTATGAAGATGATGGGATGTCTTTAATGCAAGTGGCACAACCAAGCTTCTACCTCAGCTTTGCTTAACTCCAAAATCTGCTTTTAATCCCTTTCTATGGGTTCAGTTGTATCTTCCCAAAATGTAAGTCCTATTCCTAACCCCCAGTTCGCATAAATGTGACCTTTTGGAAATAGGGTGTTTGCACATGTAATAAAGTTAAAAATCTCACAACAAAACCATTCCGGATTTAGGATGAACTGCAATTCCAATAACTGGTGTCTTTATTAGAGAAAGGAGATTGCAGACCCACAGACACAACGAGGAGAAACCATGCAAAGATGGAGATGAGACTGGAGTGATGTCACCACACACCAAGGGATACCCAGCTCCACCGGAACCTGGAAGAGGCAGAAAGGATTCTCCCCAAGAGCCTGCAAAGGAAGCTTGGCCCTTCCAGCACCTTGGTTTCAAACTTTCGGCCTCTAGAATTGTGAGGGAATAAATTCCTTTTGTTTTAAGCCACCAACTTGACGTGGTCCTGTAGAAGGAATAACTTCTGTAGGTCAAAGATCTAAGATAAAGAGCTGAGAGGAAAGTAGAAAAAAACAGCTGATCACTCATATTTTTAATAAGACACACTAACCCCAGGAAAAGTCTTCAGAGAACAAATTGGATATTTAAGGACTTTTCAACCATCAGCTAGAAAATCTCAATATTAAACAGGAAGAATCTAACCTTACTTTTGCTGTGTGTTCAGTTGTGTTCGACTCTTTGCAACCCCATGGACTGTAGCCCGCCAGGCTCCTCTGTCCACGGGATTCTCCAGGCAAGAATACTGGAGTGGGCTGCCATGCCCTCCTCCGGGGGATCTTCCTGAACCTGCGTCTCTTGCATCTCCTGCATTTGTAGGCGTTCTTTGCCACTTCGCCACCTGGGAAGCCCCCCTAAACTTCTTTACATGGGAAGAAATAAAAGTGCCAACCTTTATTTTATATTGTGATGTGGAATATGAATTATATGTGCAAGATCCAACTAACCATGTAAATTTCTTTGGATCTTATCATGATGAAGATAATTACCTGAACTCCATCACATTTAAACAACCACGTACGATATATTTTCTTGGCGATTCCCCTTGCCTAGTAAGTCAAAACTCAGCAAGGCCCATTGAAATACTACTTATATAAATACCTCTTTATAAATAATAGTGTATTGTTATGCTGCTCATTTTTTAAACAACAGAATGAGAGCTTTCTTTACAAGGAAAAACTCTATTACCATGTCTTTTCATTGCCTGCAGCTTTAAACATTTTCAGAGGCAGAAAGTATTGTAATAGCACTTTACAAATGAAGTGGTTTGTAAATCTTAAGCTGCAATTTTCTCCCAAACAAAGCAACAACAACTAAAAAAATATCTCTAAGGAGAGATGAAACTGTAAAGTCTTTTATTTGGTATTCAGATGTTGTTGGATAGGTTTTCAACAACAAAAAATCCTCCATTTAAACAGTTTCTACATCTTTCCACCAAAATCTTTTCTCTCATATTATCTGCCCACAATGAGAGTGAGGCTTAGCATCTCATGGTAGCCCAATTATCCAGATGTATTATTCATTTCCTTCCTGCTTATGTATTTCACAGTTTGAAATTTCCTTTTAAAATTAAAAGAGCATTAATAAATAGTCATAGCTACAATATATCTCTTGTTTATTAAACCCCTCTGAAACAGCTAGTGCCATTAACCATACACTACTTATCTTTAATAGTATTCAGATATATATTTTGGCACATGTTTTATTATTTCACCTCTGAATGCTTGAAACTAAAAAAAAAAAAAAACCTTTACCTGATTATTATATCACTTAATATTATTGAGAAGTATTTTTTGATTTGAAAGTCTTAAGGAAATGCAGGTCACCTTTGATTACTAACCCTTCAGATTTCTCTGATGTTTTTTGATTCATTTAAACTTATATTTTTATGTTAAAACACAGTCTAGGGGCTTCCCAGGCAGCTCAGCAGGTTAAAGAATCTGGTTGACAGTGCAGGAGATACAGGAGACATGGCTTCAACTTCTGGGTTGGGAAGATCCCTCGGAGAAGGAAATGGCTACTCACTCCCACGTTCTTGCCTGGAAAATACCGTGGACAGAGGAGCCTGGTGGGCTACCCAGTCCACGGGGCTGCAAAGAGTCAGACATGACTGAGCGCACATGAATATGAAAACACAGTCTGATTTCAGTTGATCTGCCCCTGGAGATTTCGCATCCCCATCTCCAGTCTTAGTCATTCTTCTCATCAGTTCCCTGGAACTATGGTTAGAGCCAACCTAAGGCTGCAGTCATCTTCCTCAGGAGGTTTTAACTTAGATTTAACTGGAGCCAAGTGAAGCAGATGGCTGAGGGAGGCGGGACAAGAGGCAACAGTAGTTTCTCAATGGGGTAGTAGAATAATGAGATTATTTTTACTTATACAGCTAGGAGTCAGCATACTCTACTGAAAGAGGATGAACTTCACATTCATCCCAACGTATTCATAATTGCAGATTTGCCGTCTTCACTTCTCTGAGCCATTTTTCATTTGGCCTCACTATGGGAATAAGAATGTTGCTAGGATTAAATAAAACAAGGTAACAGTAGCACAGTGTCTAGAACCTGATACTCAGTTACACGGTGATCACCTTCTGTGAGCTCCTGCACTCCCACGACTGTGCCTTCTCCTTCTAGAAAAGACAATCCCAACAGCAAAACTGCCACCATGCAGCAGAGCGGTCAGAGGCTCCATCAATCACGTCTCCTGCAGAATTTATAAAGCAACAGAAATTTTAAAGACGTAAGCCAGTTGCTGTGTAAGGTGTACTAGAATCAAATCCACAGACTCCTAGTCTGAAGAGTCATTTTCCTATTATTTTCAAGTCATAAAAACGACAAATCAGAAAAAGAATAAAACACTACCTCCAGAGACGGTTGCTACCTATTATTACATGGCCAAGGGCGGAACACATGCTACTATGTAAATACTTTTGATTTTGTGAATTCAGTATCAAACTCCAGGTAAGCAGCCTTGAATACAGCTACATTCAAACCAAAGCTATGAGATTTTTTGAAACAGAAGCAGCAACATAGTAAAGAAGAAGAAGAATGAGGAGGAAAAGGAGAAGGGAGGAGAAAGGGACAGGGGAGAAAAGGGAGATGAGGGGTGGAGAAGAGATAGAAGGAGGAGAAGCAGCAGCAGAAAAGAAAATACAATGTAAATAAGAATGGTCTTCTGAATTTTAAGCCATGATGGTGCCTTGGCAGCATATAGCAGGGTCCACTGTGCACACATTAAAAGTTGAGTATTTTTAGGAATAGCTTCCCAACAGGAGGAAGGTAATGTTTTGAAGTCTGAAGAGTATCTAAAAATATCTGTCTCATACCTATATTTTAACAGAAAACTACATATTAAAAGAATAGAAACCAAAAGGGCAGCTCCCTGGATTATTTTCTGAAGTCATTTACTAGCTGTAAGCCCCTCTAAAGAATATGCTGAAAAGTTAGCCCAATTTTCCAAGGAATAGTCTCTGAGTTCCCTAAAGCTCCTGCTGTTTTGCCACATTCCATCTTTAATCCAAAAAAGGAGGAGGAGGAAGAGGAAGAGGAGTAAGAAGAGGAAGAAGAGGGGATGGGGGCCAGAGAAAGAAAAAGAAGGGGAATAAAGAAAAAGGAAAAAAGGGTAGAAATTATAAGAAAGAAAAGTTTCATACAACATGTGGGTCATATTTAATGTCATTTTCTGACTGTTTACCGTGTTATCCTGTTTAAACAATTCAAATGTAGAAAGTTTAACAGGATATTTATGTTATTTATGTTTGAATAGTAGATCATTTGTGGTAATTCCTATTAACTTTTGAGTATTAGGAAAGTGGTCAGGACTATATCTCCCTATAACACATCTTTTTCCTATGGAAATAAAATCAGATTTGATACATCACTTCAACTTACAACACCTTGTCCAGGAGTTTATCTGATATTCATGCTAAGGATTCCCTTCAATGATTTCATCCTGGCATTTTAAAGTAGGCAAAAAAAAAAAAAAAAGGAAAAAAGAAAGAAAGAAAGAAGAACTCTTGAGTATCCAAACCAATATTTGTTTCAGACCAATATCTGATTCTCTAATGAATCTCTACAAAAAGGAAACACAAATGCCCAGAGGGCTTCCCTTAATTTGGGGAAACACAGCATCCTCCTTTGAGTGGTCCTTCATACCATCCGCTATGGTTAATGAGATCAAGGTTGAATTGCTAGTCCTATAGACTGGGGTAGCCCACAGCCCATCACAAGTACCCACTGGTCCATTAACTCTGGGGCCATCCCACTCAAGTGAGCCTGTCCTTCCCTTTAGCATGGACTGAATCACTGCAAGAGGAGCTAATGAATGGATGAAGTCTTGAGAGGCCCACAGAAAATCCCCAGTTTTGAGCTTCACTCACCCTATCCTGATGAATACTAGTGTCCTATGTGTTATTAGCTGTTTACATGGAAAGATTCCATATTGCATTCTATTTTTAGGACTTCAAAATGCTTGTGAGAGTAAATCAACCTAGTTATTTTGACCAAATAACTTTTTAAGTCTCATCATTGGATGTGAACTTTTCATGAGATATAATTTGAAAAATGCAGCTCTCGGGTGTGTGAATATAACTGAAGGGCCAGTTTTTGCTATTGAGAGTCAAGGAAGTGGACTTGCAAAGAGTACCAGTGATGTCCAGTAACAGGAAAGCACATCAGTGGTTTCAGAATTCAGGAAAGTGGTTGCCCTGTGAGAGGTAAGTTCTAGAAGGGTGGTCAGGGGCTTTGCAGGGGCCCAGTAATAATTCATTTTTTGGTCCAGGTCCTGGTTGCCTGAGTGTATTTACTTTGGGAAAAAGTAATCAAACTTTATACCTGTGATTTTTACATATGCATCAATGGACATTGAGTGAAAGTCATCCAGTCACGTCCAACTCTTTGTGACCTCATGGGCTATATATAGTCCGTGGAATTCTTCAGGCCAGAATACTGCAGCAGGTAGCCCATCCCTTCTCCAGGGGATCTTCCCAAGCCAGGGATCGAACCCAGGTCTCCTGCATTGCAAGCAGATTCTTTACCGGCTAAGCCACAAGGGAAGCCCAAGAATACTGGAGTGGGTAGCCTATCCCTTCTCCAGGGGATCTTCCCAACCCAGTGATCAAACCAAGATCTCCCGCATTGCAGGCAGATTCTTTACCAACTCAACTATCAGGGAAGCCTCAACGGACATTATACTTTAGCAAAATTTACTTCACAAAAAGAGCTGCTTTAAGGTGGAGATGGGACTTGGGATGCAACCTGTGGACCGCCTGGCACCTACACTCTGAGGTAGAGAGGTGAGGAACTCAGAAAGATAGTGTAGGACACAGGCTGAGGGCGTTGGGTCTACAGCAGACAGAACTGGATTTGACTCTGTTCTGTGGCTCCTGACTATGTTAGCAACAGGAAGAGTAATCGACGAGGGCAATGATAGAGTAAGGGGCCAGACCGTGAGAGCCCCTCTACAGTCAAGGTAAGGACTTTGCTTTTCATTCTAAGTGTGAAGGGAAGTCCAAGAAGATTTCATAGGTATACAAGCAGAACAGGAACTGTACTCTACTGGGAGAGAGACAACAAAATCTCTGGAAGCTTTGCTTCATGTTCTATGCAATACACATGTTTATCTTAAAGGAGAAAAAAGACTGAACTGAATTCTGAGGATGAACCTCAAAACTGTGGCAGAAAACCAAAAGGATGTAGAAAGAGCAGAAGAACCATGCAGTCCTGAGACAGACTCTTTACACCATGTAAGAGCCTGCAAGGGCCAGCAGTAGGTTTGGAGGCAGGTGAATTATTTCGGGGTAAAAGAAAATTTCTTTCTTTCATGGCAATCAGGAACCCTGCTTTCACTGTATCACACTTCCACCTCAAAAAAAAGAGAAAAAAAAATGAAGAAAAATCTTACTCACTGTCCTATCACTACTGTCATAGACAAATATCCAAATGAAATATTCTCTTCTCTATGCTGGCAGACACCCTAAAATCATTTAGCATTATTCCTCTTCCAGATATCTATTTAATAGAAACATAAATTTCTTGCTTTGTCATGCCCACTTTTAAATAAATAGGATTTTATAATGATAATCATGGAGATTGAAATACATTGTAAAATGAGACAAAACCTCCGCCAATCTACTAGACAGTTTACTTTGAAAGAAAAAGGCACTAAGAAAATAGTAGATAACTGAAACTAACAATGAGAATGGCAATTTGAAAGAATAAAATGAAAAATACAATTTGACTCAATTTGAAAACTATATCCCTTTTTGACAATTGTAAATATTAGAATGTGTTGAGAAATCATTGTATTGAGGGAGAATGAATAAGATGGATGAAGAAATTTTGTTCAACCAGATTAATACTGTTATACCTTTAAAAAAATTCCCCAGATATATAAAGAAGTTTTCCAGAGAAATCAAATTGCAACTGTGTTTGCATTACATCAAAAGAAAACCAATCATTATGTTGATTTCTGGGAACTTTGATAAATGTGCTAATAAAAAAATATTATAAGAACTTGTATAAAACCCATTAGGTTCTACCTCTACAGACATATAAAAAGGCAATTTTTGTTCTAAGAGAATATGAGAAACAATAACATAATATTCTTGCTGTAATCATTAGGTATATAAAATATAAACATTAATAAAATATGCTAAATCTATATCCTTTCACTGTTAAATATTATCTCATGCTAAACTGACTTTTTGAACAGATCATCTGTTAATCTTAGAGGCAAGATGAACAATTTAGTCAATTAGTCCTGACTGCACGTTCTTTGATCTTTTAATACAAATACAAGAATGAGTTCTGACAGTCACATTTCTTTCTTTTTACATTAATTGTTGGGTATGATCCCAGCAAGGAAAAAGAATGAAAATGTTAATTTTTTGGTGTCATCACAGACAGAAAAGAAAACCTGCTTTAACATTTCCAGTGTCATCACTTCACACGTTAAAACTGAGTGACAACTAACACTTCCAATTGCTCTTTAACCAGCAAGAATCTTGGGTATACCTTAGAACATGTTGACCCAGAGAAATCATCAATGTGGTGTCCAAAAGACTGTGACTGTCAGAGTACACATGTGACTTTGAGCACTGGCTTTACGAATGAGTAGTATTGCAAGAGCACTCCTAACACATTTTAAACCCATCAGAACCTCATTTTTCTGATCAATATAATATCACCAGCAATATCTACCTCCTAACATTTTTTGAACAATAAAACAGATAACCAAAAAAAAAATGAGATAACGTGAACCTACCAATCAGAGAGTTGATATTACTATATAAAAATTACTTAGCTTCTTTCCCTTGTATATGGAAAGGAGTTTTAACAATATTATGGTATTATTTATTCACAATATAACTCTCAAAGTGGCTGTTCTTCAAAGTAGACTCTTGTGAATTCAACATGAAAGCCATATGATTTGAAGTAAGGTGATGCAACTTGTTTGTTTTCTTAAAGACAGTGCATTGATCTAGAAGATAAAAGATGATGTATGTGTTTGCTAGGGCAAAATTCCACAGACTGGACGCCTTACACAACAGAAATCCATATGCTCATGGCTCTGAAGCCTAGAAGCCCAAGATGAAGAAGTTGGCAGGTTTGCTTTGTCCAGGGCCTCTCGTTGGTACGCAGATGGCCCTCTTACCGCTGTGTTCTCATGCGCCCCTTCCTCTGCAAACATCCAGGCTGTCTCTG